CAAAAACGACTGGTAAGGGACTACAACGAGTTACTTCCCGGGTCCGTTACCTCAAGAACCCAGAATTTTACATAAACCTCGCCTCCGGGAACACGCAGCAAACGGGGCGAGGCCATGCTGCACTGCTTTAGAGAAGAGGAAGAGAAAACTAGAGGTGCATGTAAAAATCTGTTCTGTCTTCTAACGATTCGAATGGATTCACAAGTTTCAAAATCAATGTTTTAAAGCATTGGTTTTCATCCTGTTCCTCGAGTCGCCCTGCTCTGCACACGCTCTACATCTCTCTCTCTCTCTCTCTCTCATTCAGATCATCAGCTCAGTGAATACACTTATTTTCACATACTATAGCTATGAGAAGCGTTATACATGGACACGCGTGCGGTTGCTGTACTGTATTAAAGCTTTAATCAGGATAAAACCGTATATTAAAAGCTAACAGAAGCAGTGGCATTTACAAATAACAGTGTATCTAAAAGTATGAGACAACAACAAACAAAAAACATAGGCCTACCATTAAAAGCCGTGCTTGCACAGGTTCTGCACGATCCTCTTCACTAATATCCTCTGCGTCTCAATCAGGCTCAAACTGATAAGCACAATAGACAATGTCATTGTTTACAATACAACAGGAGCACATGCCGCTGAAGTGAGGGGCGGGACGTTTAGACTCGCGCTAGAAGTGGTTTAGCCAATCACAACACACTGGGCTAGCTAACCAATCAGAGCCCATCGTGTATTTCTGAGGCAGGGACTTCATAAAAGCAGGAAACGATCAGCGCGTTTATAGGAGAAGGGACAGAGAGGTGTGTAATAAATGTAAATTATGTGAAAAATAATGCGTTTTATAACAAACTAAGCATTAACACATGTTAGACTGCACCCCATAAACACAATCAAGCCTAGAAAAAAAACAGTCAACCAACCCTTTAAATGGGTTTATTCGATAAATTTATTAAATGACTCACCATGAAAAGTAACACTGAATGTCTTTTCACTGCTGTTTCTGATGCTGATGATCTTTAATTCATAAAGTCCAGAGTCTGTAGTGTTGATGTTCATGATGGTCAGAGATCCAGTCTGATGGTCCAGCTTCAGTCTGTCTCTGAATCTCTCAGTACCTTCATTACACTGAACATCTGTACAGATAAAACTGAGATCTCCACTGATTTCAGCTATTCGAATGCCATTAAAATACCATTTTATATCTTCTTGATGGTTTGTTTTAACAGCATTGTGTAGAGTGACTGAATCTCCCTTCATCACAAATGCTGATAAGCCATCTGAACCAACACGGAAAACACCTGGAGAAGAAATGAAGAGTAAATTATAAACCAAATTAAATTAGACTACAACAGGAAAGTGCTGTGAAAATGTTTGTTTTTTCTACAGATCATAAAGATTGTGAGTAGAGAAATATGTCTGGGTTATAGTGTAACAAACAAACAGCATGAAGAAGCTAGCAACTCAAATTACATTCAGTGTACAGTAAGGTGACCACTGACATGCCACTTCTGCAGTGAAGGGAGGAGTGAAATAAGTGCAGTCAAGACGGACAGTTCTGACCTCTCGAATGAACAGATACTTGAGTCCAACCTTTATAAGTCCTTATTAAAGTTTCTGCAAAAAATTTCTTTGCCTGATCATGGTTTTAAGATTTGAACACTTTAATTGATTGTAGCCCAGTCATTCTTGAGACATGGGACAAAACAGGTCCAGCAAGGGTAACTGCTATTAGGTTTAAAAATAAAAATATTTTCAATTTTAAATGTCATGAGGGATTAATAATAGAATGTATTTAACACCATTATCACCTTCAATTTAATTTTCTCATTATTATACCAAATCTATGTTCTAAATGTCCTTTCACTACATCTAAAACAGTGTGTCCACAGAGAAGGGTTCAATCATTCCTATGCAATAAAATGGATAAAAATGTTTTTTT